TCGCCACGCCCATCGGAAGGTCTGCCGTCCGCACCTGCGCGGCCCGCGCAGTTTCCCCTCCGCTCGGTCCTCGGGCGCGCGGCGGCGCGCGAGCGCCTTCCGTTGGCGAGGTGGGAGCGCGCTCCAATTCCAACATCAAGTTGTGCCACAATTCTGTCTTATGTTGCAGCAGTGAGGGCAAGGGCTCCCACGAGGGCGCGAAGTTATTCGCGCTTCGCGCTTCGCGGTCCTCGCTCCTTCTCCCCCTCCTCCTCGTCCTCCTTTTCTCCCTTTGGGGGGGGGGCGCGAGAGCGCGAAGTTATTCGCGTTTCGCGCTTCGCGGAGCGCGAAGCGCGAAGTTGGGAGCCCTAGTGAGGGTGGGGTTGGGCGGGGCCCTCTGACTCGCTCGACCTGGCTGACATGACCGTATTCCTAGTCCGACTCCTGCCCTCGCTCCTACTGTCACCCATGCGGACATCATCTTTTACTCTCACTCGGATCTCTTTGGTTCAATTCTACTCGACCTCTACCATCTACTCTGCTCTATTTTACCGCGCTCCTATTCATTTCCTTCGCCCATATTGGTATGCACGGTGAATTTGCCACATGACCGGCCGATGTTGGTCGGGTCGGGCAGATCTCATCCTATTTGTCCCAAAACAATACGCAATCAATGTTTTCCGCTTCAGCATGGACATGGTGTCGCCCATGTTGCAAAATGCGTGGCCGGAATGGGACGCGGGGCGCATGCAACGCGAGGGGCTGAATTGTCGCTTTCGCGTCGGCGCCACGCTCATTTTTCTATAGAATTGAGCTCAAGCCCGGGTGCGGCGAATATTTTTCGGACGCGAATTTTTCGACGTGCGAGCGGGCGAAAATGTCGCTGTCGTTTCGGCGCCACGCAAATTTTATTCAAAACTGGCGATCGTGCTCCCTTGTCTTCCTATTTAGGGGCTGCGCCAGCTACCCGCGGCAAGCAAGGAAGACATACCCTGAACGGGGGTACGATCGAAGACGACGAGAGCAGGTATCTAGTGTTTGTGGGTAGACATTCATATTGAGTTGCACGCGAGCAGCGAAGAACGATCAGTCTTACGATGTTGTCTTGGGAGGTTCAGGGCCAAACTCGCGTAGCAACCCGCGGCGCCAGACGGCAGCGGCCGCAGCCGTGCAGCCGCACCGGTGCGGCCAGCCGCCCTGTGTTCCTGCTGCCCCCACTGTGCCATCTTGGCCGCTTCTTGGATCCATATACGCTATAGCCCTCGACGGGTATTGGGGTGTACAGGGAGGTAGGCTCGTGTGAGGTCCCCAGTTTGCTTCGCGACGTTTTGATTCGCACAGCGGGGAGCTAACCTCCCCATCTCGCTGAGAAGGCTTGGGTACAGCTTTCGTTGCGCGTCTGTTTGACAGCGCGCGCGCAGCTGTCTGGTGGTATCCTTGTTTCCAACGGGATACCTGGGATATGCAGCGAGGAGAAGGAGGAAGAGGAGGAGGAGGAGGAGGAGGAGGAGGAGGAGGAGAGGAGGAGGAGGAGGAGGCGGAGGAGGAGGAGGGAGGAGGAGGAGGAGGAGGAGGAAGAAGAAGAAGAAGAAGAATAATAAGAATAAGAAGAATAAGAAAAATAATTATAATAATAATAAGAAGAATAATAAGAATAATACTAAGAATAATATTACTAAGAAGAAGAATAAGAAGAAGACGAATAATAATAATAAGAAGAAGAATAAGAATAATAATAAGAATAAGAAGAATAATAAGAATAATAATAATAACAATAAGAGTAATAATACTAATAAGACGAATAAGAAGAATAATAAGAAGAATAATAATACTAAGAAGAATAATAAGAAGAATAAGAAGAATAATAACACTAAGAAGAATAATAAGAATAATAAGAATAATAAGAATAATAATAATAAGAAACATAAGAATAATAATAATAAGAGGAGGAGGAGGAGGAAGAGGAGGAGGAGGCGGAGGCGGAGGCGGAGGCGGAGGCGGAGGCGGATTCGGAGGAGGAGGCGGAGGCGGAGGCGAAGGCGGGGCGGAGGCGGAGGGGAGGAGGCGGAGGCGGAGGAGAGGAGGAGGAGGAGGAGGAGGAGAGGAGGAGGGGGAGGGGAGGGGGAGGGGGAGGGGAGGGGGGAGGGGGAGGGGAGGAGGGGGAGGAGGAGGAGGAGGAGAGGGAGGGAGGAGGAGAGGAGGAGGAGGAGGAGGAGGAGGAGGAGGAGGAGGAGGAGGAGGAGGAGGAGGAGATGAGGAGGAGGAGGAGGAGGGAGGAGGAGGAGGAGGAGGAGGAGGAGGAGGAGGAGAGGAGGAGGAGGAGGGGAGGAGGAGGAGGAGGAGGAGGAGAGGAGGAGGAGGAGGAGGAGGAGGAGGGAGAAGGAGTAGGACATGGACGAGGACGGGGGTGAGGGGGAGGAGTAAGAGCTGCAGCAGCATCTGTGAGGTGGCGATTCATCTGTGCAGGGGCGGAGAGTTATTTCATACCTCTTGCCAGCCAGCTGGGCACTGGTGTAGTGGCGATCGTATGCGAATGGTGAGGTGCTGGCGAAGGAGGGAGGCGGAGCAAATGAGAGGAGGAGAAGGAGCAGGAGCAGGAAGAAGATGAGGAGGAGAGCCAAGAGGAGGACATGGAGATGGAGGAGTGACGAGGAGGAGTGGCGAGGAGGAGGAGGAGGAAGAGGAGGAGGAGGAGGAGGAGGAGGAGGAGGAGGAGGAGGAGTGAGGAGGAGGAGGAAGAAGAGGAGGGTGGACACGAAAGGGCGTAAGAGGCAAGAGTCAGTGGAGCAATCGCCCCAATGCCCAGACATTCAATTGGGGGTTGGCGCCGGAGGGCCAGGCACGGGAGAACGGGTGCCCTGGCACAGTCGCAGAGAGTTCACATGCAGGTCAGCTTTTCGGAGAACGGCCCACAGGAAGCTCGAGCATCTGGCCTGTCTGGCGCTCCCGCAGCTTATGCGAAAAATGGCCTTACGTCTTTACTCAGGCAGCCTAAGGTCTGCAACATGAGCTCCACAGAGTACTTCGCAAGTTTCATGACTTGCTTCGCCAGCCCCTCATCTCATCTTCCTTTCTTCCTCCACCTGCTCCTTCTCTTCCTTCTTCATGCCCTCTCGTGTCCCCTCGTGCCTCTTTCTTGCACGGTGCTGTCCGATTGTGCGCTGCGTCTTGTCACCAGGAGGTCATCCGATCTCCCTGCGCACTGCCTGGCCCGATCTTGCCCCGTCTGTCCGCGAGCTGTTGGCGACGGGCCGAGCATGAAGGCGCTATCCGACAAATGCGTCGGCAAATCGAATGGGATTGTGCACAATGGGAAGGGTCGGGAGGTGGGATGTCAGGCGTGCCGGCGAGCGCAGCGTACCTCGCCTTCTCTCCTCCGTCCTCGCCCCCTCCCCTCTCGCCCCGCGCCGCCCGCGGCCCCCGGCACGGGCCCGCAGCCTGCTGCTCAAGCAGGGCTATGGTCCTTTTTTCTCTTTACATGTACCCAACGCTGTTCCGTACGTAACCATGGCCCCGGAGGCCGCCGCGCGGGGGGCCGGGCGGCGGCGGGGCCCAGGGGCGCCCTCCGAAGCGGGCGGGGGCGGCGGGCCGTCCGGCAGCAGGGAGCAGCAGCGGCAGCAGCGGCAGCGGCGGCGGCAGCGGCAGAGGCGGCGGCAGCCGCAGGGGGAGCAGCAGGGGCAGGTGGCAGGTGGCAGGTGGCAGGTGGCAGGTGGCAGGTGGCAGCGGCAGCAGTGGCAGGAGTCGTGGCAGGAGCGGGTGGCAGGAGCAGGGGCAGAATCGGGAGCAGCAGCACTGGCAGTAGCAGCAGCAGCAGCAGCAGCAGCAGCAGCAGCAGCAGCAGCACTGGCAGCACTGGCAGCAGCAGCAGCAGCAGCAGCAGCAGCAGCAGCAGCAGCTGTAGCAGCATCAGCCTCTAAATTTGTAGCCGCGCGGTAGGCTCGTGTCGTGTCGACGCGGCGGCGACCCCAGCGCGGGCGTTCAAGGTTGAACGCCGCCAATAGCGTGGAATCGGCTTGCATCAAACGATCCGCGCTGTCGGAACACTGCGATCCTTGTAGTTTGAACGATCCACGGGGTGTCAGAAACGAACGATCAAGTCGTTACGGCACGAATTCGCCGTACGTGGCAGCCAGAGCACATGATTGCTGTAGAGCTACCAGTACCATTACAAGAACCAGCATCAGAAGTAGCAGCGGGAAGCAGTATGGCAGAGTCATCAGCATCGTTGCAGCGTGCGCAGCATTCGTAGTAGCACCCATAGCAGCCATATTGGTGTCACCACCACTAGCAGTGGTAGCGGCAATAGGAGCGACAGAAATAACAGCATTACTAGTGTCCGTCGTCGTTGTCGAGTAAATGTTGTTGTCGCGGTCGTGGCCGTAACTAGCGGTAGCGGTATTGGTGCTAGTAAGATGTTTGATAGTCGTGGTGATGGGGCTCGTAATTGGTGGTGGTTGTGGTGGTGATTTTGAGAGTGAGACGGGGAACAGCAGTTCCAGCATTGGATTTTACGAAAGACACCGTCATCATCTCCCTCGCCCCGCAGTCGCAGTGGTCAAAGCAAGATGGATGGTCCCGGCCTTTTGGACAACATGATGATGCCTTGCCCGATCATGGCCGTCTGTATTGCGCATTTTCCCGCTCCTCTCTATCTCTCCTCCCTTCCCTTACCGCAACACTCGGTGTACGTTCTTCTTCTTCTTCTTCTTCTCCAGCGCGCAGCCTGGACTTCACGTGGCCGGTGACATCCGTCTTGCGTCCCAAACCAAGTATGTACAAGGGAGTGCGAGTAGGCAGGAGAGGATGAAGGAAAACTAGCAGAGCTTTCTAGAAGAGGGCAAGGCCAAGCAAAGCAGAGGGCAGATGACAAACAGGAGAGGCAAGAGAGATACCCGGGCGACAATGAAAGAGGAAGAGGGTCGACGCGCAGTGGAAGGTGCCATGCCAGGGCTGCAAGACAGGGTAGGTGCGCGCGATGGGGGGGGGGCATTGGGCGCGGCCGGATGGCGCAGGGGTCGCAGGCGCCCATGTACATGCTGAGACCAACTGCGCTGCTCGGGGGCCTGGCTGCCCTAGGACGCCCGCGCCAAGCGTACAGCTCATGAGACCATGAGCTCTTTGCATTTATCCTCCTCCCCCCTCCACAGTAAGATTCCTATCGCACAGGTTACGATCGGATTCCTATTGTACGAGTTACACTATGATTCCCATTGTACATGTTACAGTCGGACTCCTACTGTACAGGCTACACGAGGATTCCTATTGGACAGTGTGCAATAGGGTTGCCTTTGCAACGTTGCACTAGGATTCTTCTCGTGCAGATTACAATCGGATTCTCCGAGTACAAGATACATTCGGATTTTCACAGGATACAATGGGATACTTTTTGTACAGGTTACAGTAGGATTCCTTCTGTACTGTACAGGTTACCACTGTATTTGTACAGCTTAGAATAGGGTCTCTATTGCACATCTTGCGTCAGGATTCTGACTGTACGGGTCACAATCGGGTTCCTACAGCACAGGTTGCAATCGTACCCCGCGTGTACAGTTACGATAGGATTCCTACTATACAAGTAACCATCATCTTCTGAGTGTACCGGTTTTATTCGGATTTTTATTGTATGACTTTAACTATGGTGTCTGTTACGCGGGGTACAATATGATTCAAGTTTTACTGGTTACAACCGGATTTTTATTCTACAATATACAAGAGAATTGTCGTTGTATACTTTGCAACCGGATTCTTACTGTACGCTGCGATTCCCAATGTAGTGGTTGAGGGTTGAGGGCTTAGGATGCAGTCCTTTAGGTTTACCTGGTCGATTTACCCACCACATATACTTTTTTGATACCTAAGAGAAGGCGTTTGGCAAACTTTCTGTTCTACAGTTTAAACTCGGACTCCCATTGTAGAGGTTATTATCGGATCCGTCTAGTACAAGTCAGATTCGGATTCCTATCGTCAAGCATACAACAGGATTCTGAGCTCGCAGGTTACAGTCGGATTTGCTGCGTATGTTGTTGTTTGTTGCTTTCTGGTCTGGGAATGAACGAAACGCTGGGTATGTTTTTTGATTTGCTGTGTAGGGTTTGGGAAGCGGCAGCGCTCGCCGCAGCGCCCCGCCCAGCATTCTTTTTGACCCTCCAAAACCAAGCGATCAAAAACCAAACGTGCGCAGCGCTTCGTGCCCCCAGTGCCACGAAATGCTGCGTTTTTTGTTGTTGTTTGTTCATCTGCTCCGGGAATCAACGAAACACTGCGTATGTTGGAAGGCCCCAGCCTTCGCCGCGGCCTTTCAACCAGGACGTCTCCATCCCAGCATCCAAAACTAGAAGCACCAACAAAAACCTGACATACGCAGCGTTCCGAGCCTTCGGTGCCACGAACCGCTGCGTATGTTTAGCTGTGTTGGCTTCTCTGATCTGGGAATCAACGCAATACTGCGTAGGTAAAAACATAACATGAAATTTGGGTTTTTATGCTGGGCTGCAGAGGTCCTGGTTGGGAGGCCGCGGCGAGCGCTGAGGCCCTCCCGAACCCTTAAAACGAAAAAACAAAAACATATGCACAGTGTTTCGTTGATTCTGGCTCAAGCCTGGCTCAAGAGGCGTCCCAGAGATCGCTCGGTCGGCCATCTACCCTTCCCCAGTTGCACTCCCGACCTTCCCTCTGCCATGGCGCCGTGCCAGGTTTGCCTCCGCCATGGGGTGCAGGGCGAGGCGCTGCCGGGCTTGGCTTTCTGCGCCGCACATGGTGGCGCCTCCGGCGACGACGACGCGACGGGCCTCACCCAGGCTGCTGCGAACCTTGCCGTGCAACCCCCTCCTGGACTACCAGGCCACGGCCCTCTTCCGGACGCATGGCTCGCGGAATTCATGGATGATGAAATGGCGCAGCATTTTGGGCTGGTGCAGGCCGCCAACATGACGCTGCCGCAGGACCTGCAGAATCTCCCCATCAAGATTCCCTCCACCTGGGAGGCCCTCCGCGCCATTCTGCTGAAACTAGCCTACAACCCCGTCTCCGCCAACCCATGGAATGTCTTGGGTTTCGGCCCACTCGACGGCCCCGCGCCTACCGAGCAGGGCATCGCAAGTCGCACGCGGACGGCTACCATCCTGTGCTCCCTCGGTCAGGCTGCCGATTGGGACCCGGCTGGGAGAGCGAGCGCGGAGGCGGCCGCTGCTCACTTCGCGACCGCTGGCGCGCGGTGCGCGGAGCAGTTGGACGAGGTTTTGCGCGAGCGTCGCCGTCTCCGTCCCTCCGAGCTCCCACGATGGAAAGAGTTGGGAGCGTCTGCGCTACAGGCAGTCCGCGCCATCCCAACATGCGCAGACGCCACCTTAGCCACGCAGTGGTCCCAGCTCCTCAGCAACACTACCACGGACCATTCGGTCATACTGGAGCAGCACCGTGAATTGGCCACACTCTTGGAGAAGGGCGACGCGCGGGCCCTGGAGAAGATGGGGGGGCAACAGATCTTGGCTTGGGCACCGGTGGACACCAATGCGCTCCAGAGGATCCTTGCCGGTCTACTCCGACAGCCCGATCCAGCACTTCGCCCTCAGCGACTTTCGCTTCTGGTTCCGATCCCCCATTTTCCTGGTGTCGACTCTCCGGCCAAGCTTTTCGACCTCTGGTGGCACCCGCTCCTCGGCGAGAAGCCGCTGTACATCTCGTTGGTCCGTGCCGTGGATATCATCCTGCAGCCTGTGGAGTACATCCTCCCAGGAAGGTCCGCTCCCCGGCATGTACGGCAGGGCCTCGCGAGCTTCACCATCACCACGGCAGGACACCGATCGTCACCGACCGTCTTCTCCCCCTTGGCCCCGCTGCTCCAGCTCCCCGCGGTGAACTCTTTTTGGGTCGACGTCCCGACTCAGCTCTTCCCGAACTTCATGATCAAGATGCTCAGCCCCGAGGTCACCAACCATGGTGTTTCTTTCCTCTGCCGGCATACCTCCAGAAGTTGGGGCAGCACTCCGGAGGTCCCGCGCGTGTGCGTGGAGATCATTCTACCGAGCTCTCTTTCCGAGGCGGGTTCCATGCTCGCCATGCGCTTCCTGCGGAGGACCGTGCTGACTGAGCAGATGTACCTTGGGCACAAGGAGCTGTACACGTCTCCAGACGCCCTCGTGGTGGAGTGCAACAGCCCGCTGGGACTGGTCCGTGCGTGGCCGTTGTGCTCACAAGCGATCTTCCTCTCATCCGACAGGGTGCTCGTCTTCACGTCGGCCTCCGTGGAGTCGTGGACCGCGTTGCTCGACAGGGGCCTCCAGGAGGATGAGAACCACGCGATCACGAACATTAAGCACAAGGCCAGCAGCTATGGCGGCCGTCCCTGGGCATTTCCATCCGCTACTGCTCTCGCCCTCGCTGCCTCCCGTCGCCAGCGGGGGCGCGGCGGTCGCAGCTCCACCATGTGTGACAACATCGCGGAGATCACCGTCGCCGGGGAAACCGGGGACAACGGAAGCGTGGTCATCAATCAGCTCCTGTCTCACGTCTGTGCTGCCACGGGCCTGGCGCTCTCCGCGGCCCCCCCAGGTCAGGTGCCACGGCCAGGACAGTGGGTCCATCTTGCTTCTCGGGGCGCTAGCGCTCATCCTGGCCGCGCACGCGTGTACCTACACTCACAGGAAGATGTCCAGCAGGTGTATCGCTCGTTGCATGGTCAGGTGCTCCAGGTCGGCGTGGACTTCTTGGCCATCAGGGTGTCCAACGACGTCCAGGACTCTCGCACCCTGCCGGGAAACAGGCGGCGGGGGGGGCAGGGGGCTGCCTCCCCCGCCGCCGCGTGACCTCCCCAGCGCCTTCGACGAGCTATGGAATTCAGATTTTTGATTGCAAGGGTACCTCATGTTGGCTCGTGGACGTCGCCTTCGAGCTCCAACCGGCTAGTGCCGGCCCGGGCTCCCAGCGCCGCGCTCCCTACAGCATGAGTGGGCATATCACGTCGTCTTGTTCTTCGTCACCTTCTTCTCAACGTTCTCGGCGTACATCTACTCAGCTACCTGCACTTGCACTTCTTCATCTTTTTCATCATGTTTCTACCTCTATGGATCAGCTGCCCGACGACTCCATGACGGACGTTCCGGTCCAGATTCGGCTTCAGAACGCATTTCGGCGCGCGCTGCGCCCCAGTGCGCTCCCTGCAGCGCTGCCTCCACGCACTCGCGCACCCAGAGGTCAGCCTTCGCTCGCCCACAGCCCGTACCTCGGCGATGTCTCCGTCATCACATGGAACACCCAGGCCCTCTTCGCCGCGGACCCCGGCCGTCATCGCCGGAAGGCGACCTACGTGAGGAAGTTGATGGCCACCCACGATATCGGCCTCTGGACCGAGACGCACGGGTCCAATGGAGGCAATGAGGTGTGGAGAAACCCCGATGCTTGCACATCTTGGTGGTCGCCAGGCCCCACGCCCGCCAGGGCAGGAGTGGGGGTGACGATCAAGAACTCCTTCCTCAAGCAGTTTGCGGCGAAACCTCACTGGCAGATCATTCTCCCGGGTCGTGCTGCAGTACTACATCTGCGAGGCCCCAGTGGCAATCTGGACGTTGTTGTCGTATACTTCCACACTGGTGCTGCCGCCTCCCCAGAAGACATCGAGGCTGCAGGGCTGTCTCACCTGGGCCGCCCCCCATCTTTCCCCGAACTCCGAGACGCTCTCCGACGGCGGCTTTCGCGGCACATCGCTTCCAGGGACCAGGTTCTCACGATCCTCGGAGGAGACTTCAACTATGTTGCGGACGTTTGCGACAGACGCTGCACCTCCACCGCTGCCGTCACGGGTGGGCGGGATCGCGGGGAAGAGGCAAGTTGGCACCGACATTTGGGACTTCCTCATGGCCTCCACGAGCTCCACCAACCCGACATGACGTATGCTTCGCCTTCGTCCCGATCGCGCCTGGACCGCATTTACTGTAATCAGGCCGTGGTGGAAGGCTTCGATCGGAAGCTAACTTGCGCTGCATTGGAGTGGCAGTCAGAGCTATCTCGACATAGAGCCGTCAGCTTTCGGCGTTCACTGCCGCAGCGGGAACCCGACTCATGCGCCCCGATATCGGACC